GGGATTATAGAGGTTCCCGCCAAGAATGGCGATTACCTCGGCGCGATTTACATGGTAATGCCAGCGCGCTCCTTAATTGCCATGCCTCCCAAACATATACCCCGAGTACAGAGAACAAAGTTTCTATCAATCAATCAATCAATCACATACAGGTTCCCGCCAAAAAACGGCGCGATAACCTCGGCGTATCTGATTACATGGTAATGCCGTTGCGCTACCTAATCATCGCTCACGCCGCTCCCACGTACCCTGAGAATTACCAATCATACAGGTTCCCGCCAAGAACGGCGCTTACCTCGGCGTATCAGCGTTTCTGTGAATCATAAAGGTTCCCGCCAAAAACGGTGCTTACCTCGGCGTATGAGGCTTTCTGTCAATCTTACAGCTTCCCGCCAGAAAACGGCGCTTACCTCGGCGTATCGGCGTTTTTGTGAATCATACAGGTTACCGCCAAAAACGGCGCTTGCCTCGGCGTATCAGGCTTTCTGTCAATCATACAGGTTCCCGCCAAAAAACGGCGCTTACCTCAGCGTATGCTATATGGTAATGCCGGCGCGCTGCTTATCGCTCACGCCGCTCCCACATACCCTGGAGTACAGAGAACAGGGTCTCTCTACCAATCATATCATATCATATCATACAGGTTCCCGCCAAAACCGGCTATATTAACTCGGCATATCTTATATATCTTTTATGGCAATGCCGGCGCGCTCCATATCGCCACGTGTCACACGCTATGCAACCAAGACCCACCGCTCCTGTGGTCGAGAGGATCCCGGTGACGCCAGACCAGGGCCAAGGTCCCACCCACTTGCACGGATTAAGAGATTCTGGCCGTTGATCTTTGCTATCCTATCTACGGTCATTATCGCTTAATAATTCCTGTAACTGGGACCTACCGGTAGCCCCAGAGCCAAGGGCTCACTTAATCCCGTTAGCCACCGTTTACCTCGGGCCAGATCTAACGATCTGGAATGAAGAATCGTGAGAATCTCGGGATCCTCGGGGGCTACCGGTAGGTCCCACTCAACGGCCAGAATCTCTTAATCACCGTGCAAGTGGGTGGGACCTTGCCCCGGGCCAGAAGGATATCATCCCTCCTCTGCTCAAACACCAAGGACCGCCCTTTGCAAAAAAGCAAAAAAAAAAAAAAAAAAAAAGGACCGCCCCTAACTGGTGCTATGATCGTGGACAGAAATCATGATCCCCTGCCGTCTTCCCCCTAGCATAACATACCCTCATTTATGGCCGAGCTGGGCCAGAAACGTAGCTTGTATACATTCATTATCATACCCTCATTTATGGCTGAACTGGGCCAGAAACGTAGCTTGTATACATTCATTATCAGGGTGCGTTATGTTCGGGGGAAGACGGTAGTCGGGTTCGCGCCTTCTTATAGCATGAGCATAGCAACCATGGGGCCTGGTCTTAGGTCCTGAAGCGGACAGGGACCTGGGACCAGGTTCACACTTGCGTTCGTGTGCCTTCTTATAGCATGAACATAGCACACCCATGGGGCCTGGTCCTAACGTCTTCCCCCGAATACAACGTAGAGCTCATTATAGCTGAATTTGTGGCACCTTTCCGTCTACATACAGCTATAATGACCGTACGTTGTATTCGGGGGAAGAAGGGTAGGTGCTGAAGCGGAACGGGACCAGGGACCAGGTTCACACTTGAGTTCGTGTGCCTTCTTATAGCATGAACATAGCACACCCATAGCACCTGGTCCTAGGTGCTGAAGCGGACCGGGACCAGGGACCAGGTTCACACTTGCCTACAAGTTTAGGTGCTGCGCGCCGAGCCGATCTTTGAAAGTTGAACCTCGGCACATTGATGGTGACGTCCTCTGCGGACACATCTGTATCTTTTAGCAAGGACGGGAAAGATACAGAGAAAGAGAAGATAGATTAGCATGGGCCCTGCGCGCAAGGATGACACGCGCATCAATCGACAGAAATCATCGATGGTCCCCCCCCCCAAAAAAAAATAAATAAAAAAATAAAAATGAAAAAAAATCGATCGATGGTGGGGCCCACCTGGAGGCCGAGCTGGACGTGGAGGTGGAGGGGTGGAGGTGGACTCTCTCTGTTCCCAGATCGAAGTTTGGAAATCAAAAAAAAAAAAATCCGGGGCCTTTTATTTCGATCTCAGCTTTGCCTGACCATATGCACCCCCGAACTCACCCCTACACTTGGGTCAACACTGCGGATTGACCCAAAAGGGCGCCTTCCGGCAGGAAAACTACTTACTTACCGCGGTAAAAGCAGAAAACCAAGTGCCCAAAAAAAAAAAAAAAAAACAGTACAAGTCACCGCGCTTGTGACTGATACTAAGCGACTTGTTGCAGCTTCGATTGCAACAAAACAGGAGGGAATGAATGATACCAAGTTACCAACCAACTTTTACTTGGTTTTCTGCTTTTACCGCGGTAAGTAAGTAGTTTCCCTGTCGTGTGCGTTTGCTTTGGGAAGCTTTTACATTCGCAGCATCTTTTTTTTTTTCTTTTTTTTTTTTTTGGCCTTTTTTGCTTTGTAACTAAGCTATATGCTTCTCTCAATTTGACATTTCTTTCACTATCTATATACCTACCACTAATCCTAAAAGCCTATACAGGGGACCCCTGCAAGAATAGCTACCTCTCACAACAATTAAGGGGGGGATGCATGTTGCCCCCGCCCCTAATCGGCGGCGGTCAGGTGGTAGGTAGTAGGGTGGGGGCCGCCGGTGGGGGAAGGAGGGGGAAGGAGGGGGGGGAGGGAGGAGCTAACGCAAAGACGGAGCATTTTGCAAGTAGCTGCTGCGCCTCCCATCTACTA